GGTGAGGCGCAGCTGGCCGAGCTTGGGCTGCCCAGCACCTGCAGCAAGCTCCGCCCGGGAAAGGGCTCCCGCAAGAAGAGGTAAGCACAGCGGCGGGCGGCACGCCTCTTCCCATGAGCCACCACCCGGGACTCAGGGCCTCTTCCCACATGGCCTCTGCAGGACCCTGCCCTGCGAGGAGACTGGTGGGGCCGCCCGGGGCGAGGGCACTGAGGACGCAGACTCACGTGTGCGGGAACTGAAGGAAAGGCTGGAGCAGGAACTACAACAGCAGGGCGAGGAACAGTACCTGTGCATTCTGAAACGCAAGGAGCAGCATGTGGCTGAGGTGCCAGGCAGGGGACAGAGCACAGTCCAACCAACCTCACCCACTCCCAATCAAGGGCTTCTCACTGAGCCCATGCTTCCTTCCCCACAGCAAATGGCTAAAATGATGGAGCTGGCCAGAGAGAAACACGCTGCAGAGCTGAAGACCCTCAAGGAGAACTCAGAGATGTACGGCTGCCTCCTTTGTACACCTCTCCCTGCTGCCCAGCAAGGGCTGGGCTGCAAAACATCTCCCTCATGCCTGTCTTCCTGCAGTGACACCAAAGAGATGAAGAAAAAGCTGGAGGCCAAGAGGCTAGAGAGAATCCAGGCCATGACCAAAGCTTCCTCTGACAAGATGGCCCAGGAGAGGTGAGCCTTGGAGGGGAGGCCCAACCCTGAGAAGACTCCACTCCTGGTAGGGGGAAAAAAAAAAAAACAAACTCCCTACAAGTGGATCCTAATTCACTTCCCGGAGATATGACTCTTCCTTGGCTCCTGAAGAAGATCCCACCTCTTTCACCTCCAATCTAAAAGTGTCCTTAGGCAAAACACAGATGCCAACACCACTTGAGCAGAGAGGAGCATTGGAGGGAAAATCAAGCATGCAGAGAGGGAGGTGAAGCCTTGGGACATCAGCCTGTCCATTCTGGCAGCTCTGCTCCCCACCTGTGTTTCCCATGGATGCCCTGAAGGACATTATGTTTTAATGAGGAAGTTGTCCCACCAGAGAGCCCCAGGGCTCCAGTGGCCCCCTCTATCTCCCTTGGGTTCCCAATCTTGCTCCTCTGCTTGTTCCTGGCCCTCTGAAGTTCTCATTGCCTATACCCTGAGAGTTCATCCCACCCTCCTCTCCACAGGGGCCTCCTCCCCTTTCTAAAATTCCCATTATACTAACAGGCTGAAGAGAGAGATTAACAACTCCCACATCCAGGAAGTGGTGCAGACCATCAAGCAGGTGTGTAAGGGTTGTGTCCTTCCTAAACACTCTCTTGATAGATGAGAAAGGGGTAACCATAGGCCTTTCCTTTGCCCTCAGGACATGGTGCCACCCAAAACTGTTCGTGCCAAACTGGGGATGTGAGGGGGCATCCCATCTGGCTTGCGTGTGGAGGCTGGGGTACCAGCTTAAAGGGCTCTGCCTCCAGCTGGCTTCCCTAGGTGGAGATTGTATGAGCTAGCTGGCCAGGGGAGGAAGGAATTAAAGGTGTGTGAGGGGACCTCTGGAGATACCAAGGAGAGGAAAGAGGAAGGAAAGCCCTGCTAAGATTGGACCCAAAGCTTACCTAGGGATTGCCAACCACAGAGACAGAGCAACCATGGACCGTGTCCTGACCTTATACCAGGCTGCATGCCAGGTGCTTCACAGGAGCTATCTCATGTAATCCTTCACAATCCTGTGAGCCAGGTGCTATGAGCTCATTTTACAAATTGATAAAAGTGCCCAAAGGTTAAGCAACTTGTCTCAAGTCTTACAGCTAGTTAGCTGGGATTAGAGCTGGATTCCAACCCAGGTTGCCTGCCTGTACCACCCTGATTCCCTGTCTCTCACTACTCCCAGATGACCGATACCCTGGAGCGGCACCAGGAAAAGCTGGAGGAAAAGCAGGCAGCCTGCTTGGAACAGATCCAGGACATGGAAAAGCGGGTAACAGGACCACTGGCTTGGTTCCGGCAGAGATGGATAAGCTCCAGGGTGGGAAGGGGCCCTGTTCCTGGAGGAAACTCTGGGAGAGTCAAGGAAAGGGAAATGTGGTTCCTCAACAATGGGTCACAGACTTGTTTTCAAGGGATCCCAAAGTGCTTTCAAATGAGGCAGCTCTGCAGATCTCTTCGCTTGATCCCTCTCCTGAGAGACTCCCTGATAGGCTTCACTACCCATCCCCCCAACTCCCAACCTAGTCTTCTGGAAGCGCTGAACAGACCAGGCATCTCCTTGTTCCACTGTCCAGAGTAGGGAGGGTGGACAGGGCCCCTTCCTGAGCCAGGCAGTGATCCTTGCTGTCCCCACAGTTCCAGCAAGAGGCATTGGCGGAGTATGAGGCCAGGATGAAGGGCCTGGAGGCTGAGGTGAAGGAGTCGGTGAGGGCCTGCCTCAGGGCCTGCGTCCCCTCTGAGGCTGAGGACAAGCCTGAGAGAGTCTGTGAAGCCTCCAAGGAGCCATGTGGCCAGGACCCACTCACAACCATGGCAGACATCCAGGAAAGCCGCCTCTGATGCCCCCATTCCTTTGGGGGCATTTATCAAGGATGTTCAGACCTTTCTGTAGGATATGGGTCCATCCCCCAGGAGGAAAAAGCTCCAACACCTTAAACTGTAGGAAGCCAGGGTTCCCTTGCATGTTATAGCCCTCTCCTCAATAGCCAGGCTAGAGGAGAGGCAGGAATCAGGTCCCATCAGGGCAGGGGCCCAGCTGAGGCCTAAAAGTCTTCTCCAAGCTGATTTCCTACTAGATATTCTTTCCCTCACTTCTTGATGAGTGTTATCTATTTGTTGACTATGGACCAGGAGGTGGGAAATGGATCCCTGGCTACATTTTACCTTTCCTAGTGTGCAACTGGTGCTGTCCCACTTAGAATTCAGTTTTCTCTCTTGGAGGGATGGACCTGCCCACCTGGAACCTCTACTCTTGCATCTGTGGTTCAAGCAGGACCAAACCCCAATCCCTCCTGCCACAATGAGGCACTAGGCTTCTAGGCCACATCTTGAGTAGGTAGTGTGTGGTCAGCTCCATGAGATAGAGCCTGTTACTACCTTAAAAATCCCTGGAGACAGCTGTTTCCAGAAAGTTCCTGCCCTTATCTCCTGCTTTGGGGAACAAGAGGCTGACATGGAAAAGCTACCTCAGCAGACTGGCCCTCAGCTGCTGAGATATGTGGGGCTGGGGCTGATGTTGAGAATGGAGGTTGGGCCTCCTGGGCTCCTACCCTGAACCTGGCTCACCCCTTTCCCTAGGCCTGGGGTGGGTACTTCCTACCATGCATTCCACTAAGTTTGCCTGACAAGGTCAGCATCATTTTCCCTTCTGAATTTGTGGTTTATTTATTTTTCTCCTTCCTACTCCTACTAAAGAACCATGACCCAACATTTCCTGCCTAAGCCTGGCCTCTGTTCTCCATCTAGGAAATGGGGGATATGGGAGTGGAGTATTCTTGAAATGAAGTTGGCTGGGGAAAAAGAATTCCTTGGAAACTGAACCCAGGGTGAGGTCCCTTCCAAAGCCCAGTGGAATGGCCCTGCCTCTGGGCTTAAAGAGGAGTAACTTCCCCTTCTTGCTGGCCTGATGCCACAATCACTGGAAAATCATGTCACTCCCTTTTCACCCCCACACAGATATGGCGCTTCTTGTCTCCACACTCAGGACTGGAACATGAGGACCTAGTGCAAAGGTGCCTAAAGTTTTAGGCCACCTGAACCTCTTTGGGAAGACCTAGAGTGGCCAGATGCATAGCCCTGTGGCAGCTGTATTTGACCCAAAAAAATTGTTGCAGAGGGTCTGTGGGAAGCCGCTCTCTCTACAGCACAGTACCAAATCCCAAATGGGACAGGCTATGGCTTGGGAGAAGCAGGGTGGGGGTGATGCTGGGAAGAGGTTGTTTTCTTAACAGAGTTACAGCAGTGCCATTAGCGGTGAGCACCTGTGTCTCTGGAAAGTAAACAGGGGCACCCTCCCTCTTCCCATCTCTCTAAGGACCTGGCCTCTGGGGTCCCACCTATCCCAGCTTCAGGATAAGAATGGAAGACTGCTCATTCACAGAACCCCTGGCACTGACCAGCCAGCAGACACGCTGGGTACAATGGGGGTAGACACCTATCCCGCAGGGCAAAGCCCTAACTAACTTCAGTCCTCCAGGCAGGCAGCCACCCCATCTCTCCTCTCCTCTCACCCCTTGGGGAAGAACCTCTGGATGAGAATCCAGGCCTAGAGGAACTCATTGAGCCAGGCACACGGGCATTAGCCAGAGCCAGAGCCAAGATAGCCACAGTCTTAGCAATTGAAGGTGACTGCTCAGGAGAGACTGGTGCCCCCTTGTAGTTAGGAAGCCCAAGAATGGGGAAGGGGATGCAGTCTTTCCTCCTGGAGGGATCTCTGCACAGCTTTTCATGAGGCCAGACCTAGATACCCACTTCCCTATTTCTATAGTCTATAAAAAAGGGCAGGAGGTAGGCAGGCTGAACATCTGGGCAAATGCAATCTCTGGACCCTAGAGATGAATTAACATCAGGGGATGTGCAAAGGAAGAGTTGATGTCCTCCCTCTGGCACTGCAGCAGGTGAAGGGCACTGGGTTCCATCCCTGCTGTACATCTGTGAGGCTAGGGTCAGGTTCCCTTGTCATGTCTGTCTCACCACTGCACAAAGAAAAGGGTCCCTACCTATTGCCCAATCCCCTTGCTGACTCAGTGCCAGATCCCCTGCTGACTCACCCACCCCCTGTACCTCTGGCAGTTCTCTGGATCTCCCAGACACGTGCTACCAGACCCAACCCTGCCAAACTAGTGCAACGTGACAGGGTGAGGGGGCTGGTGACACTTGAGGAAGAAAGAAGGGGGGGCCTAGGAGAGAGGGCAGTTGCAGACAGAGTGACAGACTTGCAGACTGAGGCTCCTCTGGGAGGAAGACTTTTGCCAGCCTGAGGCCTGACAGCGGAGAGGTTGGGCAAGTGGGAGGGGAGGGGGTGTGTGGAGTGCCTGCCTGCCCCCTGCCTGCCTCAGCTCCTTCTTCTGTCAGGCTTCAGCTCTCTAAGCGACAGCTTCTAATTCTGGCTGCTGGTGCCTCTATGCTCTGCAGCAAAGTCTCAGCTTTTTTCAGCTTTGCTATTTCTTTTCTGTTCAGAACATACTGAGCCCATAGGAAAGGAAGTCAGTGCAGAGGCTCCAGGACCTGAGACCTGGCACCACAACCCATCCCACTGTAGGCCTGGCTGGGTCAGCCATGCCATCTGGGGCCAATGGAACAGGCTGTACCTTCCAGAGAGAACCAGCACAGGCAAGGTGAAACCCTAAAGTGGCCTTGCTGCAGCTCCTCCTCTTCCTGGGATCTGTCTCCATCCACCACAGGGAACTGAGGTATAGAAGAACTGAGTTGGCTCAGGGAGGCTCAGGAAGGAGGGGCCTGGCTCTTTAGGACCCAGTGCACCTCCTTGGTGCAGGCTTTCTCCTGCTTCTCTTCTCCACTTGGGGGTGGGGGGGTACATAGCCTGGCCTATCACACCTAGATTCCAGAGGTACCACTTCCCCTGACCGTGGAAGCAGACAGGAAGGAAAAAAGCCATTTTCCTTATACTGTTGAAAAGGGAAACTGAGTCCTAAAGAGGGGCGGGGGAGCCTTTCCTCTGCTGAGCAAAATGGGAAAGCATCCCTGCCTTACTGAGGCTGGAGAGTCTTGCTTGGTATGGAGTGAGGGGAGTACTGGGCTTTAAGGGTTTCCATGCAGTGCTTTTCCATATACTTGTTCCCTGCTCTGTTGTGGAGCAGGTAGGGCTGGTATTAGCATCCTTTTGCAAATGAAAATGTGAAGGCCTGGGGTCACCCTACTAGCACATTCCTCTAGGCTGGAACTTAACTTTGTTATCAAATACTGTGCCCTTTCCATAACATCATAAAAGAAAACTGGCAGACCCCTGGCCAAAGGCTTTTTTAAAAAATGCACAAAGAGTAAGGGGTGCTTTTAGCATGTGCAGATATACATTACATGCTCCCCACATGGCAGAGTAGAGTAGAAAACCCCTACTACAGGGCATGACTGGAGCACAAGGTGAGTGTCCATGGAGCCTGGGACTGAAGAGAGGTTCATGGGCCCAATATCTTCCTAGCAGCACCTGCTCTCCTCACCTCATACCTTCCCAGCACACCTCCTGCACAGCATCTTAACATTGCTCTGCTTGGGCGGCCTTCATTCTTCCCTGAATCTCTTGTCTTTTATGGGACAGGACATCTTAAAGCAGCTCTCAACACTGCCCCCTAGAGGTGTTTTCCTGTTTCAGTGCCTTTGCCTCCACAGTCCCCTGTCAGAACTGTCTCCCTCATTTCTTAGGAGCCAAGGACCAATTCTGCTCCCTATCTTCAGAAGACCCAAAGCTCTCCCCTCCCCACAACTCCATCTTATTCAACCCTCAGATGATAACAGGAGCTAGTTATATCCTGGCATTGTCTTCCACTTTAGAGAGGAAGTCTCTTTCTTCCAGAACCTAGCTTTTTTTTACCTCTGTATTTTTCACCGCTGGGAACACAATGCCCTGCTCATGAAGCCTCAGTAAATTCAGTAATTGATGCCTGGTTCACTCTTACTTTGAAACTATCCATTCCAAGCCTACTCACCCTCTCCACACTTCCCAGCGCTCCGAGACACCCTAACTTCCCTCAACCTATGCCTGTGGTGTTCCCTTCCCCGGGGCTGAGCAGTAGTGGGCAGAATGAGTAGTGGGCAGTTTTTCCGCACATCTAATGGAAGATAGATCTCATGATCTCCTCTTTTCCTTAGAGGTCAGTTAGAGTCAGGGCCAGAGCCCTGTGCTTGTGTTTCTCGCTTTCTGCGGGTGGCAGCAGGTGCTGGAGGAGCTGGGAGGTAATGCTGAGGAGTCCTAACGCGACTGCAACACTCTCGGGTCCTAGGGCTTCTGCCCTGGGACTCCACTGCCGCGGAGTCTACGCCCTGCCTGCTTCGCTGCAGCCACTGGGAGCTGGCACGCGATAGCGTTTGTCAAGGTTGGAGACGTCTGAAATTGGAGAGCGCGCCCCCCTCCCTGCTCCAAGTGAGCCTGTGCGGGAGGCACAATTGTGTGTGACGGCGTGATCCGCTGCACTTCGGGTGGCAGTTCCCAGCCACACTGAGCTCCCCCATCCCCCGTCCGCAGCACAAGTGCCTCATTTGCCTTTCGCCTTCACCCCCAGCTTGTGCATGGTCTAGTTCTGCCCTGTTGTGGTACCGTTTCCTTTCACCCAGGACCGCTGGAGGCAGCTCTCAATTTTCCCCGACGAGCCGCGGTCCCGACAGTTTCTAAGGAGCCTAGGGCACGGACTCCAGTGGAGGCGGAGGGCGGGGAGAGAAGACTGCAACTTTGGGATTGGCCCGGCCGGGTGCATGTGGCCCCCTGCGAACAGCCCCCGCCTTCGCCCCGCAACCACCGCTGCATTCCCAGGGGAGCGCGGAGGAGGAGCCGCTCCCCAACTTTACGGCCCACAAAGGGGTGGGGGTCAGGGGCGGTCTCCCCAGCCCGATCTGTCTCTGCCCTGACGGTGCAGCACGCTTCTTGGACAGCGATTGCCATGGAGAGCCCCGAGGCTATAAAGCTAGGTATCCAGGCGGCCGGCTGCTCCCGCGCCGTTGAACCCCCTAAGTAAGAAGCTAGCGCCCCGGCGTGGCCCGGCCCCCGCAAGAGGGGAGGAGGAGGAGGAACGGCGCCAGCAGCTTGAGGAGCGGCGCGCCCCGCCTGGGTTGGAGGCAGGCACGCACGGCGGGCGCCACCGTCTCAGCAGGGGAGCGGGGGCTGCCCGGTGTGCGGGTGAGTGGCGTGGCTCCAAGCCACAAGGGACCAAGGGGCGTCGGACACCGTAACAACGTCAGGAGACTCAGGAGGGTACCAAGCTTGGGCTTTTATTTAGTGGTGGACCAGGAGAGGACCCCGGAGTAGCGAGCAACCCACACCTCCGGGGGGAAACCTGGAGAGGAAGCAGCGAGACGCCAGGCGTTTGGCTCAAGAGCTGCCCGAGCCGCTGATATATCGGAATAGGAACCTCGGGACCTCAGCCTCAGCAGCCCACGCGCGGAGGAAGCGGTACCGGAGCGCGGGCTGGGGCTGTAGCCCCGCGGGGAGCGGGAACAGGGGCGCCCCCGTGCGGACTTGCCGGGCCGCCCCGGCGCGGCTGTCGAGATCATGCTTAAGCCCAAGGACTTATGTCCCCGAGCGGGTACGCGCACCTTCCTGGAGGCCATGCAGGCGGGCAAAGTGCACTTGGCCCGTTTTGTGCTGGACGCACTGGACCGCAGCATCATCGACTGCCGCGCAGAACAGGGTCGCACGCCGCTTATGGTGGCCGTGGGGCTGCCAGACCCCGCGATGCGCGCGCGCTTCGTGCGACTACTGCTTGAGCAGGGTGCGGCGGTGAACCTGCGGGATGAGCGCGGGCGCACGGCACTCAGCCTGGCATGCGAGCGAGGCCACCTGGACGCCGTGCAGCTGCTGGTACAGTTCAGCGGCGACCCCGAGGCAGCCGACTCAGCAGGCAACAGCCCTGTGATGTGGGCGGCGGCGTGCGGCCACGGGGCTGTGCTTGAGTTCCTGGTGCGCTCCTTCCGCCGCCTCGGCCTTCGCCTCGACCGCACCAATCGTGCGGGCCTCACAGCCCTACAGCTGGCCGCAGCCCGTGGCCATGGGACCTGTGTGCAGGCCCTCACCGGGCCCTGGGGCCGAGCCGCAGCCGCCGCAGCGGCCCGGGGCTCCAACTCCGACAGTCCCCCTGGCCGCCCGGCCCCCGAACCCAGCCCAGAGCGTCGACGACCCAGCCCCCGCCGCCTACCGCGGCCTTTACTGGCGCGCTTTGCGAGAGCGGCGGGCGGCCACGGCCACGGTCACGGCCACGGCCATGGTGGTGAGGCTGGCTCAACAGGCAAGGGCTCGGGCCGGCACCGGGCACAGGGCAGCGAGCGGCCGGAGCTGGGCCGGAGCATGAGCCTGGCCCTGGGTGCCATGACCGAGGAGGAGGCAGCACGTCTACGGGCGGGGGCCCTGATGGCCCTACCAAACTCACCCCAGTCTTCGGGGGCTGGGCGGTGGCGCTCACATGAGGTGCTGGAGGGAGCGCCCCCAACCTTAGTGCAAGCCCCCATTGGCCTTAGTCCCCACCCGGAGGGCGGCACCGGCTCTGGCCGCTTGGGTTTGCGCCGACGTTCCACAGCTCCAGACATCCCCAGCCTGGTCGGGGAGGCTTCAGGGCCTGATAGTGGTCCGGAGTTAGAGGCCAACGCTCTGCCCCACTCGGTGCCTGGGCCGAAGCCTTGGCAAGGGGGCTCAGAGGCTGTGGTGGTGCAGGCTCAGCGATAAAGGTGAAGGACTAAGCCCTGCTCCCCTAATCTCTTGTCTGCTCCACTGGGATTTCTCCCTTTTATCCAGGTCCCTTACTTTCCAGCAGCCTGTTCCTGGAGTCCCTCCCCATCTGAAAACCTGTCCCACTGCCAAGGCAAGACTTTCATCAGAAGAAAGGGACCCCTCGTTTGTGCTCTTTGGTATTCCTTGTGTAGATCTCTCACCTTTCCTACTACCTGCCTTTTCTATTATCAGAAGGTGAGATATGGAAGACTGGTTCATAGCTTCAGTCTTCCTCCAGGAAGGTGGACCCTCACTCTAACCCCAAAGACTCAGTCTGCCTAGGTTTCTGCCGGGTCCCTTTCCCCTGGTGAGTTTCTCAATACCCTGGTAACCAGGCACATGTCAAAACTGGCTTTGGAGAACCAAGGCCTAGCCCTCTTTGCCTACTGATGCTGAGGATAATGTGCAAGCCCCCAGAGTCTTTATGGACACAAGGCTGATTAGGAAGAAATCTGGCTCTTTAAGGTTTTCTGGGATAGAAATTCCTGCATCTTTACAAAGCAGTTTTGTTTGTTTGTTTGTTTTTGTTTTTTTAAGGGGAGACAAGAGCACCTCTGATATTGGTCACCACTTGTCCCCTGAGCCAGTTTCTAGGTAACAAACTCCCTCTGCCTCTGTCCCAGGCAGACCTGGGATTCAACTTCTTTCACGTTATAGGGTAACTGTCCCCCCCCCCAAAAAAAAAAATCCTACCCAGCTCAACTCTGCCTTCTTGGCTCCAGATGCATTTAAATTTCATCTTTGAGGTTCAAGCCCTGTCCAGGTCCAAGGTCCTGGCCCACCCTTATATCCATTCACTCGAAATGGAAAGGACTTAGCACTTCCCCGCCCCCACCGCTTTCCAGTTCCCTGCGATCAGCACGTGGGTGCTCCGGCAGGGTAGAACGGTTGCGAAGGCTTTGCTTAATTGCATTTTTTCCAACCCTCAAAGAACTCTTGTTTTGAGTCTTTGTATATGAAGCATAAAGCAGCAGGTCTGATCCGAGACTTAAGAACCTGACAATATCTCTTTAAATAGAAGCTCCGCGAGGGGGATAATTGACTGAAGTGTTTGCGACGTTAAACGGCTGCGCGCGGGAGTCGGGAGCCCACACGAGCCGCAGGTCCGGGTTTAAATTACACCAAACTCGGGGGAGAGCTGGAAGGAGCCTGTTAAACATCTCCTGCTTCTCGCTGGGCTGTTAATGGAGGGCAGGGCCGATGACGGATGGTAGAAGTCGAGACCAAGGACCCCTGCCTTTGCCCCGCCGCGTGGGATGCAGGCCCGGCGCAGCTTCCAGCTTTTATTACTGGGCAGATTAGTGAGTCAGAGGCCACCGCGGAGACATGGTTAAGGGCCCTTTCCTGGTCTGGTCCTTTGTCCCCTCCCTCCCTGCCTCCGTCCTCCTACTCTTTGTACCCGCCTAGCCAGGGGCTGGAGGAGGGGGTCAGGGAAATCGCTGGGCCCTACAGCACACTGTGGAAGCGTCAGCAAAGGTGTCAGTGCGCCCAGTCTGCGGGGGGGCTCAGGTGGGGCTCTTTTTGTGAACCCCCATGGCTGAGCTTGAGGCCCTTCACCTGTCTACGATGGGGTCTTTTCAAGATGTCTTTGTGGAACAGAAGGTTTCTCACCAATAACTCCAAACGAACCGGTCAAAGGGATAATGACGCTGAAAAACTGGGTCTGGGATTGAGGGGTGGAAAGGGAGTCAGGTGGGGCCTTGTGCAGGTGTCATCGCTAATCCTTACACCTACCCCACTCGCCAGGCTTCTCCGAGGCCGCGCGAGCCCATACACTGGACGTGATTCCCTGTGCCCCCTGGTGGCAGATCTGCCTCGCTGCGTCCTGGCTCGGGGCTCAGCCTTCTGATTTTATTTGGGATCATCACCGCTGTGTACTTTTCCCTCGGTGGGCATTCACCCGTGGAATCCTTTTCCTCTTGTAGAAATTAAATCCGGATACTTGAAGTCACTTCACTGGGACAACGCGGAAAACACTCACACTGTAGCATGCGCCAGACCCTTCACTAAGACCCCCAAGTTAATCCTCCAAGTTAAGGCTTCCAGTCTTAAGAGCTCCTGTTCTCTTCCCCCCAAAACTGGAGCTACCGACCTTTCCCTTATGGTTTCTGAATCTTGGGACATGCCAATTATGCACTGTTTTCCTATGATATGCCTCTTCTCAGTCCTCTAGTCTGGGTGGTGAGTGAACAAATCAGAGTGTCCAAAAAGCCTGAGAGAGTGAGTCATGGGTGGGATGGGGGATAATTGGACACCCAAGTGCAAACTGCTTCTTTGTGGATCTTTGCTTGCTCAACTTATGCCCTTTTCAACTGTGTTAATTAATGAAGTTTTCAGTGGTGTAAGAATACAAGTATTTTGACTTAAAAACAGCAAGAGGCCTGGGTCACACATTGTATCAGAGGTACTATCATCTTTTCAGTGCTGCTGACGTGTGAGTTTCTGGGTGAATGTCACCTCAGGCCCTCTTTATTGGGTAAACAGCCATGAGGGTTTCACTCTATGGAGTGGCCAAGAGCTTAGTGGTGAAAATGATGTTTCTAAATAGCCACAGCAGATCCTCCCTGTCTGAACTGTGTCTGCCTGCCTTGCTGTCCTTGCAAACTCCTTTCTAGGTCCGTCTCTGTGCAGAATTTCCATGTCTCACCACACTTAGCTCCCTCAACGTCCTCTCATTGTCAGCCTGGAACCATTGAGGTTGGGGTCCTCTCTAGCTCACTCCACTGTAGAAGAGACTTTGCTAAATATTTTGCTTTTCCTGTTCTTGTTGCTTTCATCTTTGTGAAGATGAAAGGCCACTAGAATTCAGTACTGATTTGTGTGGGAGACTAAAGGACGTTTGCACACCTTTCTGGAGTGAACTGTGTGGCAAAAAGACTAGTGGAATTCAAAAGAATAGTTAATAAACCCAGTGTTATTCCATTGTGAAACTGGCCTCTCTTTGCCTTACCACCCTCTCTTGACTCCCTTTGGAGGGATGGAAGGGTATACTCGCTTCCTGTGGAGGCTCCTGCCTTCATCAGCTCCCACCCTGCCCATTCTACTGTGGTGGGCTTCTGAAGGTAGGTCACAGGGGCTGCTTCCAACTGAGCTGGTGGTACTGGGGTTGCAGTCTGGGTGGGAATGCTGTGGAAGTGGGAGACAGTCTGCATGACCCCTTGCTCCTGGCTAAGGAGTTTCAGTGGGTTGGGTATAATCACTGGAAGGAAGGGATGGAAATAATGTTGGAGCCAGAAGTTGAAAGGTAATTTTACCAACCTCCCACTCAGGACTGGACCCCAGGTTTCTTGATTTCTAGCCACTTCTCTGCACTGTTTCCTTTGGTTCTGAGAAATGAAACAGGACTGCTTTCTCACTGGCAACAGTTTCAGGCCACTTCCTATGAACAGTTTGAGGTCCAGGGCAGAAGAAGGGAGAAGCTGATGCAGAAAGGATCATCAGCTCTGGGAAGGAACCCTGTCTGTTTCTTGTGTTTCAGTCCCCAAAGCCTTTTACTTCCTGTTGCCCTACTGTACCTTTATTTCCAGAGCCCATAGGTCAACAGGGAAATTGGGTGTCCTGTGGACTCAAGTGACTGCTGGGAAGCCCACCAGATCCCCACTCCAGGGCATTCAGCTCCACGACAGCCTGGCTCCAATACTAGACAGCAGGAAGCCCAGCGGTTTAAACACTCAGTTTAATTTAAAACAGGCACAAGTGCAAACAATTCACAAAAATTTCTAGGGAAGATCCTTTTGTTTTTAAAACCCTGACCCTTAAAAAAATGTCCTTGCAACTTCTTTGCCCTAAAGCTGATCATAGGGGACAGAGAGATCTAAAAATATTATCTGGAAAGGGTCCAGACACCTGGAATTCTTCCCTGGCCTTCCCTGTCTCACAATAGCCTAGAAGGTGGAGAGGGAAGGAGGATAAGGGGGCAAGGGTCTGCAGAGGCAGCTGGGGCAGCAGGTTCACACAGATGGGGTGCCCCTTCTGATGTGATGGACCCCCAGGAGGTGGTATACCTTCTGTCCCAGCCCATAGTCTGAAGGACGGGTCCCTGATGACCTGGCTATTGAGATGAAGCTGACAGGAAAACTAAGTTTATCGCCTTACTATTCCTGTCTCTGGCTCTCAGACTCCATAGTATGAAAGAGACTCAGGAATCTTGTGAGTCCCCAGCATTGGTGGACTCAATTCACTGATTGAAAAGAAACATGAGACTTGAGAGGTAGGGAGCCAGGCCAAGAAAGGGGGTCCCTTCAGAGTTGAGACTAGTGGGAGAAGAGGTTCGGATAGCCCTCCTGAAGCTGGCTGCGGGTAACTGAAGGGACACAGGCCATTGGGTCCTTCCTCCCCTTACATATACACATACTCACACACACGTGATGTTCTCTCCAACCTGTAGTGAGGCCACTTTTACCACCAACCCCATTCTTTCTCTTTCACTCAGAAAATGCCCCCTTTCCCCTCCCGTGGCCTAGGAGCAGGCCTTTCACAGTTCTGATAGGCTGTGTGGGGAGAGGCAGTACAGGTGGGGCAGGGAGCAGGTATAGGCAGGACTGTGCCTTTAGGAAGTTAGACCAAGGGAGGAAGTAGGGTTCAGGTAATAAAAACCTTCCCTGTGGCCCTCTGAGACCCCAAGGCTTGAAGGTGGAGCTGAGAACAGCAAGTATCCATGTGAAGATGGGAAGTTGGCCCTCTTGGGTGGCTTGAGATGCTAGTATACAACTACCTTTAAAAAGTCTGCAGCAGCCTTTTCTGCTTGCTGACCACAGAGGCTAGGAGTGCTTGTCTCTGTTTCTTAGAAATATCCCTGTGCAAATAACAAAGGGTAATCCTGCAGAAGGGGGTCTCCATCATCCCAAAGGCAACTGGGGATTCTTTGGGGAGGGAGAGAGACCAAGGGGGCAGGTCCGGCCTGGCCCAGTGGGCAAAGGGGCAATAGGATAGGGGTGGAACTTCACATTCAATCTTTGGAGAGAATACTGAGAGAATGAGGCAGACAAGCCCTGCTGGAGGGCTGGATGCCCAGTGTCCCCTGCCTGTGGGTCACAGGTGGCAGGTGCACTCAGAGTGGGCTCAGCAGGTGGAGGTCTGCTTGCGGTAGAGCTGGATCAGGGGCACCAGGCACTCAGGCAGCCCTGTCTGCAGCAGGAAAGGGTGGTCCAGGAGCTCCTGGGCCGTGGCTCTCTCTTGGGGATCCCGCACCAGCATCCGCTCCAGGAAGTCTCGCAGCACTGGGGATACCTGTGGAGACAGGGCAACCAGGGGAAGTCATGGTTTGCAATTACTTTGGAATGACCTGACTGCCTGGCCTATTATTGTTTGAAAGTTTCGAATTCTCTTGTTGCTTACTTCCTGGTTCCTCCCAGGCTCAGAGCTTGTTTGATTATCAAATAGGTAAACGAGGATGCATCAGTCCTGGAACTGTGGCCAGTTCACCTGTAATGGGAGTTGCCAAGCAATGGAATTAAGATGTCTGGGACTCTAGGAAGCTGGGTCCATGTACAGCCCACTCCACTGGCTGGCTTCACAAAGCTCTCAGCATTCAGGCCCTGTGGCTCTGCAGAAGGAGCAGGGAACTGGCATCAATAATCCAGTCCTGGGTCCAGAATCTATCCCAGATAGATCTAGTCCAGATCTATCCCTGATCTTAGGCAAGTTGAAATTTTCTCCAGACCTTAGTTTTATCTGCAGAATGGGCTAATGATGAAGAATGCCTCTTTTGTCTGCCACATAAGGCTTAAGTGAAGACTAAAAAAGAGGACAGAGATTAGGGAGTACTTGAAAAATAGAAAAGTACAAGCTGGGACCTGAAAAGGGAGCTTTCTTTGTTGTTCTAAGGCAGTGCTTGGTTCATTTTGAACTGGTATCTGGGGATGTCAGGCTGCTACAGAAGGCTACCTCCTCTGGGGAATTAGATGTGGAGGTCTCCTCTATATGTTTATTTTGGGTTACTAGTGCAGGTTCCAGTTGTCTTGGAAGATGTTTCCTGTTGGTCCTCCCAGCTGACTCTCTTGAGGGTCACAAAACTGCTGGTTATGGACTTTAATCCTCTGGGACAATTCTTGCTCTAACCACCAGATGGCAGTGCCATTTAGCAGTCCTGTGTTGAACTGCCAGCAGGGGGTGACCACAGGTAAAGTCTGCAGGTTTGGGGATGGATTTGGCAGGAAAGGCTTAAATATAATACACATTTATAGGGTTCTAAGGGGAAAGCTCTACCTCTGGTCAGAATGTGCCAAAGGGAGGACAAGCCATTTGCTCTGATAGACAGGAACACTGTATCACAGTGTGGGTCCCGACAAATGGGGTAGAAGGGTTGATGCTCAATTAGGCTTCTCTGGTCCCCTCCACCCTCTGCCCTAGAAAGAAGAGACTCCTTACTTTCTCTGCTTATAGGTGCCTCTGGGCACCTGTCAGTGCCTGCTGCAGGGCACCTTGGCTGCTGTAGCTGGGAAACTGGAATGAACATGGGAGTGTGTGCGCAAATGGGGCTCTGCATCCAGGTGCAGGTTTTGTGTGAGAAAGATACTGAACCCTCTGGTTTTGGTGGAGGGAGAGGATGGGAGTATAGGCTCTGGTCCTCTCACCACAGGAAGAATGGGGTCTGTGGGGTCACACGTTATACACCAACCTACCTTGTGAGAGTTTTTCAGCTTGGGTGGGGGGTTGTCCCGGAGCCTCTTCATGGCTTGCACTGGGGAGTCACTGAAATAGGGAGGCTCCCCATCCACCATCTCAATCACCATGATGCCCAGAGACCAGATATCCACCTGCAGGGGAAGAATATCCCTGATCCTACTGCTGTAGCCTGGCCCTTAGTAGCAGCATGCTGGATGGGAAGAAGCAGCTGGTCTCAACTCTCCTTGGTGTCTTTGTGCCTATCTCCTTCCTCCCCTGATCAGCTGCCCAGTGGTTTGTTACTTCCTGCATTAGTGGCTAGAGACCATAGGGATAGAACTTTCAGCCAGTCTCTGAGAGAGGGCATCATGATTGGGGAAGCCTGGCCACACCCCACTTTGCTATTGAGCTGGTGGAGGGGGAATAGTTGGAGGATCCACTCCCAGAAGTGAAGTCTAGGTTACAGCAGCTCATCAGAAAGGGTGCCAGGTACTGACTGAGAGGGTACCTGAGAACCAGAGTTACTGTGGCAGGGACTGTAGAGTTATTGTGGCTGTGACTGAGCTCCCAGAAGCAGGGCAAGGAAGACAGCTAGGGTCTGACAGCTTCAGGGCAGAGGAATTGCATGTTTTCAAGCCTCTTTGGGGAGGCCTCATTGGTGGGCGGAATGGTTACCTCAGTGGCATACAGAGACCTTGAGATCACTTCAGGAGCCATCCAGTAGGGGGTTCCCACCAGGGACTTCCTCTTAGGGACATCTTTGCTGATCTGAGCACAGAATCCAAAGTCCGAGAGCTTCACCTGGGGTTGAAAGGGGAGTAGATGGAGGGCCAGGAGGACCAGGAGGACCAGGAGGAGAGATGCAAGGGAGGAGCAGGAAAGGAGGGCCTACCCTGCCATCAAGGGTCAGCAGGATGGAATCACTCTTGATGTCCCGGTGGATGACACCTTGGGCATGCAGGTAGGCCAGGGCCTGCAGCACAGCCTCACACACAGTGGCGATCTGCTCCTCATTCAGCCTGGACAAGGTCAGCAGGACCACGAGGGAAGAGAATGATAACTTTAGCAGGGCAGCTGGACTGGGAAGAAGGGTGTCCCTGGCACAGGGCTCCACATCTCCCAGGCAATGTGTCCAGCAGCCCCCTCAGGCCCTAGCCCTGGGCTACTTTTCTCTTCTCACACCCTTGAAATCTCTGGATCTCAGTTACCTCAAACAGGTAGGGGGTCCCTCAAACAATATGACAGGCACCACAACCCCCCTTCCAAAGCAGTGGTGGGGAGAGCCTCCCTCAGGGCCCCAGCCTCCCAGCTGCCCACCTGACTT